TGCCCCAATATGTCAATATACAACCTTTTTAAGATTACACAAGAAAGAAATGTCAACAAGGAACAAGGATTGCCAGGACTTTATTAAAAGGCAGGGTGGCGGTGGCGGTAGCGGTAGCGGTAGCGGTGGTGGGAGGTGGGTTCTGCCCTAAAAAGGAAAAAGAACAAATTAAATTAAAAATAGACTGGGCTGCAACCCAATGTCCTGTTGCTGACTTGTGGCATCCAAGTGATACCCAACACTTGGATCACGATCACGAGTGTCATCAGGTGCCAGACAGTCAGCCAGTCCCCTTCCAGTGCTTTGTGGACACAATGAACAAACACCAAAATCCAGGTCACATCGCCAAAAGATCTGAAGCCAGCTCAGATCAAATCCAGGCAATCAAACATCAGTAAATATTCAAATTCCTATTTCCCAACAACTAGACAAAGGGGACATTTGTAGATTCTGAAAACGGTATAACTAAAGTGGAGATCAAAACTCCCTCCTAGTCATAGAAGTTACACTTCCATAACAATTCACTGGCTGTTATTTCACATTTTGATTGCTGCCACAGTCAATGTTCAGACCCAAATAAACAATCCAATACTGATGGGCGTCTCAGTATTTGTTTTGTTTGCCATTGGACATCCAAGTAATTCTTCCATTTGTTTTGCTCTGGAAGTTAACCCAATAAAATATTGCAGACCCCAACTTGGGCTTCAGTCTGAAAAAGCACATTCAAATCTGAAAGATGTAGTTTCTTTTATTTTGAGTCCATCATTCAGGAAGCATGCTCTTGATTCACCACTTTTTCCACATAGGTACCAAAACACATACCCAATGAAAACTCCACTACAGAAGTTATTGTGTAGGCCCAGCTCCTGGTTTATCGGTAGCATGCAAAGTATTGTGCATCTTGTTAATTTTTATAAATGGAGGGACGCAGAAAAGGCACAAAGCAGGCTTGCAGCAGAGTAAAATGCCCCAAGGTGCTTCACAGGGCTGTTACACACAAAATTTGACGAAGTAGGAGATATTAGTACAGTATAATCAAGGAGGTAGATTTTAAGGAAGTGTCTTAAAACAAAGGAGTTTAGGGACAGGCATACATAGGACCAGAAGCCAGCATTGCAGTACAATCTAATGGCACTGCTGTCAAAATAGGGAATTTGTCAAAGGTTTTAATCTTGCACACAAGTCATTTGCAAGAATATAAAGGCATAGGGGAGCAAAGTTTTGTACTGTATGAGAAGAAACTGCTGTTTGGTTAGTAAGTGGACTCTGACTGGTAAAGTTGCTGCCATGGGGAATGCAGTTAGATGATGACTGACAGTTAACTGCCCAGCTTTGTTTATATTTAAATCAGACTGGTTGACCCTGACATCTCAGGGCAATGCCTTGAGAAATTAGTCAGAGATTAATTGTCACCTATTTGTTAAATTGAAACAGGCACAATGTGCATACGTGTTCTGTTTGCTTGCAAAAATAGAAGCTTTCCAATGACACAAAAGGAACATCTACAGGATAAAGTCATCAAGTTTCAGTATTGTCTGGATGAGATTAATTGCCTCTGTGCTGCAATAACTATGACCATGACACACTGCATCAACCAAAAGTGAAAGATTTAATTTCCAGTTGGTAGTAAGCAAGGGCAGTAGACAAGCTATTACAATTTGCCCATATCCTTTAGCAGAGGCAAAAGAGGGATCAAAACAACAAACAGTTCTGAGGAAGGGTCACTGGGCCCCGAAACATTCACTCCAATTTCTCTTCACAGATGCTGCCAGACCTGTTGAACTTTGCCAGCAACTTCTGTTTTGGTTTCTGAAAATAAAAAAGGTCCCTTGCTTACTATTACTGTCCAGTGATTTCTGTTGGACTGTGGACTGGATTTGGCTATGACAGCCTTAACTCAATTAGCCAATGGTCACTGTCTCAGCCCACAGAAAAGGGCCACTTGAACCAGATTCTTGGGAAGCTGCTGACAACAGTGGATCATAACAGCGATAACTGACCCTTTTAGGAGGGAAGATGGCAACATCAGTGTGTTGAGGAGGGATGGAAAGAGTCAGAATTGTTGGCTTATCATTGAGCTCTAAGTCTTAAACACATCAGGACATTACCATTTACCGATTCAGTGTCCCAATAACATGCATTCAGGTCCAGACAGTTTCCTATTGGCACCCATATTAGAAAGCATGTATGCTAAATGCAGCCTTTGAAGACATCAACAGCTTGCATCCACCAGCTGACTGAGAGGTCTGAAACACCTTTTTATTTTGAGCTGGGGGAAGCAGAGAGAGGAAAAAAAAGTCTTGCATCCGAGGAACCTCAGTATTCTGTGTAAAACCACAAAATATTCCCATGCATTCAGATCAGCCAAGGGCGCCTCTTAGGGGCAGTGAGGAGATACTGCTCATACTCCACGGTAGAGATGGATATTTTCTGAAAATCTCAGTGAGATTCCTGTTACCAGATCTCTCCGGGTAAAACCACTTCATCCACAAAGGACAAAAAATGGTGAAGGATTTCACAGCCAAGAAATGGAACACTTACTCCATTGCAAATTTCAAGGTCAGGTGCATCAACATTACCAGATAGACAGCAAAGTGTTCTATTCTACTGCAGAGGGTCATCCTTCACAAACAGAGAGAATTCCTCCACTCTCCACAGTGGCAGAGATGACATTTTAAAAAATTAAGGACGATCTTTTTGAAACACACAGGATCCTGAGGGGGCTTGACAGGGTAGATGGTGGAAACATGTTTCCACTAAGTGGGGAAAATCTCGAACTAGAGGGATGTAGTTACAAAGTAAGGGGACACTCATTTAAAACCGATATGTGAAGGAATTTCATCCCCCAAAGGATCGTGAATGTTTGCAATTCTCTACCCAGATAGTGTAAAGACTAGAGCAGTGGTAGTATTTAAAGAACAGGTAGATTGATTTTTGTTTTGAAATTGAGGAGTTTGGGCTTTGAGGAGACAGCTCAAAAGGAGGGTGGCGTAGGGTAGATTAGCTATGATCTTGTTGAATAGCAGGGCAGGCTTGAGATCTGAATAGCCCACTCCTCTCATCCCATTTCTTCGGCTCTTACGAAGGGTGACTGCACTGAAGATTGAGATCCACCCAGAAACAGGTTTAGACTGGTTGAACATTTTCAGTGGGTCTTAAGAAAATTGAGGGAGTGTTTTCAACTAGCTCAACTCAATCTGAGCTGTACATAAAAGGGACAAGAGACAAATGGAGAATGCAATTTGCTAATCGTGCTGCACACTGAACCTCGCCAAACTGGGGTGAAGTATCACATGCAGACTGAAAGATAAGCAATACTTTGGGTACATAGCCTCCAACGGGACAGCAAGGCATTAGGACTCAAAAAAACCCTCGTTGCGTTATGTCTCTTGCCTCCAAAAGCCACCAATTTGGCTTTTCCCACATCAGCCATTCCCTGGGGAAGACCGGCCTTTTGAAAGCAGAATGGTAAGTAGCTTCATAATATAGACCCACACTCTCAAGATTGACAGCACTTGAGGCCATCTCATGTTGGCTCTTGGGGTGACTTGGGAGGAGAGAATGGAGTCAGTTTCTTAGCTGCCTTGGCGTTGGTTTATTTTAACTAGAGCAATGACAAAAGCATGGGTTTAAATCCTACATCGCTGAAGTCACCACAAAGGACTCTCCTCAACCTCTCCCTTCACCTGAGGCATGTGGCCCTTGGGTTAAACCACCACCAGTTGTCTGTCTGTTTCTCCGAGAGACCAGCCCTATGGTCTGCTAAAATTCTGGCAAAATGTACCTTGACATGTAAGCTCTCATTATGGGTCAGAGTGATGGGAGATCTTTCAAATCAACAACTTCAGCTATCCTCAGTCTCAAAACCCAGCAAGGAAGGCAGCCTGTGAGTCAACCGATTTTAAAGACCAAATAGGTTGGTGAAGAAGGGTGTTTCACAACCGATGAAGGGAGAGGCCAGGAGATGAAAGCAGATCACTGGTTCACGACTGACAGACATGCAGAGGCAATGAGCAACATGGTGCAACTCACCGGTGACCAACTGAGTTATTAGCATTCACGGCGTGGCTCAAAACGTGTCATTTGACGTCAGTAGCCTCGATTTCTCATTCAGCTGTGACTTGACGTGATGTCTAATGTTCGAGACAAGATCCAATGCATTGATAAATTGGCAAAAAAGTGACACGTGTGTTGTTGGCGAGGAGGAATAACGCACGCACCCACCAGCAGTAATCCACACCAGCACCTATCATTATCCACCAGGGCAAATAAATCCCTGGCCACACACACAATAAAAAAGAAACAGGTCTCTTCTGACATTAAAACTTTGCTGCGACCACGTTTCAAAAAGGCTACAGCCAGCTCACCCAGAGATTTTTTTTTTTTAACCGCCAGAAGCCCTCAGCTTCCCTCAGTATGCAGCTGGAAGTTTAAAAACCAAACTCCACGACAGGAAAAGTAGTCGGTGACTGACCCACCGCCCCCCACGAGATAAACCACCAACAGAAACAGTGAACTTGGGAAGGCTCGTTCTATGGTGTCCCACTTCTCTCGAAACATACTCTTCAATTAACTGAGTCACAATTAACACCAACTATCCCCCATCCACACACGGGGGGGGAATCTGAGGAAAGGCATCTATAAAGGTGCAACACCTCCTCATCTCAATAGCTCTCACAAAATGTTCAAATCGCTACTTATTTTGTAAACGTTAAATCTACGACAAAGTCACCTTGTTCACCACTTCAAGGCTTCTCCTAAACATTCACATTTTGTGAAATCTACATAATGAAACTGGCTCATTTGTCCACGGAGTTGCATTAACGTTAATAATGAAGGCATTAATGACATTTGAAAAATCGATGCAAATTAATTTTCAACCCGCAGTGCCCAGCTGATTCAGCCCATCAATTAAACACGATGTGGGAGCAAATTGCTGAAATTTGTACTGAAATCAGCCCATCTCCCTAAACACTCCAGTGTTCACTGTATGTACCTACCGTTTGTAGCGACTGTCCCCTTCTCTGTGGGAAGCCGGCGTCCTCCTGCTCGACCAGCCGGTTCTCTGCACCTCCCGGGGACGGCAACCAAACGCTGGGCGTGGGGCTGGGGCTGGGGGGAAGCCCAGAGTCGGGACTATCCAGGACCCGCTCGCCCAGCCGCTTGGGCTCCACTAGAGGACCCGTTACCTCCTGCAGGTTCAGACTGCCCACCATCGCTGCTTTTCCGATGATCTCGCCCCAAAAGACCTCTCGTCTATATGTGTATGTGTAAATGTACAAATGTTTCAAATAAAAAGGAAACGTGCAAAATTAATACTGTAAAAGCACAAAAATCCAGTGGCCTGCAATTCCTTTTATATTAAAAAAATGTTTTACAAAGTAACCTGGCAGTAATGCATTCAACTGTTAATTGCTACTGTGTTATACCCCGTCAGCTCTCTCTGTGCCTGTGTGTGTCTCTTTCTCTCACACACACAGACCTGAATGCTGGTGTGTAAGCACTAGAGGTGCCTTGAAAAATTGCAGGAGCCTCACCGAAGTCAAGACTCTTCCCAGCTCAAAGATTTCATTGTTTCTGTGAAGCTGCTGATTAGAGAGAGAGAGAGGCTGAAGGGAACGCCCGCAAGGCTGCACATTGGCTGGGACTCAGGATCATGAGTGGGGCGGGGAGGGGGGGAAGAGGCGGAGAGAAATGAAGTTTGAACTTAGGACAACCCACAACAAAACTTTGCAAAGTCGTCTCAATGACCCGCTGAGTGCTGGCAGGAACGCCCCTTCACCCTCTCACATTTTAGCAGCTCGCTGTCAAAGACCAAGAAGCAAGCATTTGTAACATGATTTTATTTTAAAAGGCCAATATGGACGGAATATTTATAAACCCAGGCCGTTTAGGTCTGGTTGGGGGTGTGGGGAGGAATCTGCTCACGGGAGGAGAATGTGGGGTGTGTTCTCATGTCTACACAAACCGCATAGTCTTCATTTTAGTAGAAAGGTGGGCGGTGGGAGTTATGGTTAGGGTTGAACATTGAAACCTGTTACAGCGAGGGAGTTGGATTTCAAGCTTATTTCCCCTTGACTTTGCAGCGAGCACTTTCAGGTCAAGTTAGATCTGTGAGGTAGTGGTTTGAGTATTTGAGATGGGGATAAACATGCATGCCAATAGGAACTGAAGTAGGCCATTCGGCCCCTCAAACCTGCCCCACCATTCACGACTGATCTGTTTGGTTCCGAATTTCATGTTCCCCATCTAAACCGTCTCCCCATCACAGACCCCAGAGCTGCTCCTGAACAAGTCCCCCAGACCCTGACCCAAGCTATAGCAGCGCTCACCTGAGAGAGCTAGGTTCTGGTTATTGACAAAGCCCTGCCCATACCCCTTGTCCTGGGCCCTAAACCCAATGACCTTTGATTCCCTTGCCTACCCATGCCGTGTTAAAAATATTCAATGAACTTTTTTTTGAGAATAAACCGTCCTTCACTGTACATTTCTGTCCTTAATTGCACTCAGCCGTTTGTCCTGGCCTCTCTTGGTAAGACTATTATTTTTATTGCTGAATTATATGTTAGTGTTTTGATCTGAGTCAGGAGACCGGGGGCTCAAGCCTCAAACTCATTTCACTCCTGAGAAGGAATTTTCAACCCCACCAAGCAATATTGGACTGAACCCAATCTTGCAATTTTTCAACTTTCCAATCCCATCCAATGTGTCTAATTTTACTGTGCTGTAAGAAAACGCTAAAGAATTCTTCACATTTTTAAAGGGGCTAGCGTGGATTTATAAATGAGGTGGTTGCGTGTGAGAGGGAGGACAACACTGCATACATGAGGTGAAATTTCTTCAACCAAAGAGTTGTGAATCTTTGGAATTTTTTAGCTGGACATTCCATTATTAAATATACTTAAGGCTAAGAGACACTGGTTTACAGTCTCTTGAGTAATCAAGGGATATGGGGAGCAGGTGGGAAAACAGATTTCAGACAAAAGATCAGCTAAATGTATCGTTAAAAAACTGAAATCAAAGAGGGTTTTGTATGCAGTGTTGCCCTCCCTCTCACACGCAACCACCTCATTTATAAATCCACGCTAGCCCCTTTAAAAATGTGAAGAATTCTTTAGCGTTTTCTTGTCAGTGCTTTCACTGGCTGTTGTATTTTGAATTGTTCACCATCCCTGATGCATTTTATTTTACTTCCAAAAGTGAACTGGAACATTGCTTAAACAAATCACTGTTTTCAAAGCCTCTTAGAAAGCCCACATATTTCCCCCCACCGTTTTTTATATGTGTGTCTGTCACACTCCATGCTGTTGCTAAAAAAAAGTCTTCATAGCAGCGCACATCCTCAAAGTATCCTACACAGTGGATTTCATGTGATATGCAGTCAGAAATGTTATGTAAGCAAACACAAAGACAAATTTTCACAAGCAGCAATTGAGTTAACTGAACTGTGAATCTGTTTAGAGTAAATGTTGGCTAGAACAAGAACTGTCCTGGCTTTCTGGGAAAGGGAGCTGTGGGATTGTTCCCACATCCAATGTGACAACCAGACAGGCTCTTTCTTTAGGATTTTACCCGAACAAAAATACCATCCTCAAGCATTGCAGCACTCCATCAATGCTGCACTTACAATTTTGGCTACAACACACACTGAAATCCACGAATCTCTGATTCAAAGAGTGCTATCACTGCATCAAGCTGACGTTTGAGAGGACATAGGAGTTTCATAAAATAGAATCCCTACATTGTGGAAACAGGCCCTTCAGCCCAACATGTTGGCACCGACCCTTCGAGCATCCCCATATGACCCACTGAGCCTACACCTCCCTGAACACTACAGGCAATTTAGCATGGCCAATCCACCTAGCCTGCACATCTTTGGACTGTGGTAGGAAACCAGAGCACCCGAAGGAAACCCACACAGTCGCGGGGTGCAAACTCCACACAGACGGTCGCCCGAGAATGGAATTGAACCTGGGTTCCTGGCGTTGTGAGGTAGCAGTGCTAACCACTGAGCCACTGTGCTGCCCCTAATGATAGCAGGATACTGGTTCTGCCTGGTTGATTTTGGATTTTGATCAGTTCTATTCAAGAGCTAATTTTTTGGAGGTGTCTGATTTTCGTAAGTGAATTGGAATCTTGTCACTGATTTCCCATCATTCATATTGCATTTATCTCCCCTGAGAATGATTGAAAAAGTAATTTCCAACATAAAAAATTGACAGGTAAGAAAAGACCATCTGGCTTATTATAGAATCCCAACAGTGTGGAAGCAGGTCATTCAGCCCATCGATTCCTCCAAAGAGCATCCCACCCAGACCCACCTCCCTAACTGTAACCCTGCATTTCCTGTGGCTAATCCACATAGGCTGCACATCCCTGGACACTATGGGCAGTTTAGCATGACCAGTCTACTGGACATGCATATCTGTGGATTGTGGGAGGAAACCAGAGCACTCAGAAGAAACCCACGTAGATACAGGAAGAACATGCAAACTCCACACAGATAGTCTCCCGAGGCTGGAATTGAACCTGGGCCCTTGATGCTGTGAGGCAGCAGTGTGCCACAAACTTGTCCTTCACTGTAATAACAGCATAATCCTTTCTAAATACTCCCATCCTCCCTTGTATGTAACTCCAAACCTCCCTCCAAACACGGAATCTCCTGGTGGAGGGAAAAAGACTAAAGTCTTTTGGTGGAAGGAAAAAGCCAAAGGTCAGAAAGAGAAAAACACAGTTGGGAAAATTCCTTTCTAACCCTCTCATGACAATCTATTCAGTTGATCGCATGGACCAAGCATTATCCAGAAAGGCACTTGCCTTCTCTAAGCTGCGATCTGTGTCCCAGCCATGAACCCATGCCGATCACTCTGAAAGTGTGTGTGTGTGTGGAATGGGAGAGCATTGATCTCTGTTGCTCTCACTACTTGGCATCATTTGGCAGCTGATTCCATCAGCAGGAGCTTCAAACTATTTAAACAAACACAACACAGACCTCTATTTACACAGAGGATGTTACAAACATACTATAAAACCTCCACATGCCTATGTCGAGCCACTGGAGACCTCCCACGTTTCCTTCTTCCACATAACCTGGCCCCTTTCCAGACTCAAACCTACAGGCAGACCTTGCACATAATCTGAAATGGTTTTAACCGTGAGGTTTTATGTCCTTCATTATTCTGTAAGGACTGTGTAATCTTGTAAACATTTGTATATTTACTGTCTCTAATTTAATGTTTTTAACAAATGCTGTAACTATCATTTATCTGGGTTGAGTAAATTGTTCACTATTAGATGACAGTTACAATTAACCACTTTAAAATGCTGCAAATCAGGAACTGCACTTCATTGTCTGCTGTTGTCCCAACAGTTCTGTCTCCAAGATGTCCCAGGAAGAGGCATTGACGGCCTGTTTTGGGGAAAGGGACCTGGAGGTGCTGGTAGATGGGATGGCAGAAAGGAGGGGCATCCTCTTCCCTGTGGACCAACAAAGGAGGCAGCCAACATGGGCAAGCCTAAACCCAGTTGGCAGTCTGGGTCAATAACATTTTATAGATCAAATGGAATGCCCAGCAATACTGCAAGAAGGTCGGTAACCTGCACTCCACAAGATTAAGTGCCATCATCTTCTGCTTGTTATCTCACACTCACTACTGCACACACCTCCCACCAAGGTCAGTGGTCTACAACACGCACTGCTTTGTGCAGCATTCCCACTCAGTGGCTCTCACCCACCTCATCTCCCCAAACTAACATCCCTTCCTGCCCTCTGCACTTTCTACATACTCAGTCAGGACACTTCACCACTTCTCCCGCTCCTGTTCTGTTTCTAACAGTTCTTGCAGCACTTTCACCTTCCTCAATGCTTCCTTTGGTCTTAAGAGGAAGTGTCACATGACCAGGTAGAGAGGGCCAAGATGGATTGGGGGGTGGGGGGGGTTTGTGGGCTGTGGCTGACATTTGTGTCCTCATGCCCGCTGAGGAGAATATCCTGAAAATGGCTGCAGAGAGCTGTGATCACTGGGAATGTTGCTGAGATCCCTATGTTGAAACAACCAAGCTTCATTGTGCTGTGCTCCTGCACGAACTCCACTGTGAACACATTCTTTAGATGCTGAAGCTCCTACCTTTATTCTAGTATCAATGGCCTCTCTTCATGCAACAGGCACGAATGTCACCTACACAACCTCCACCCTGAAGCGGCCAGTGCCTCATATTATCAGCTGCTCCCCCACCCCTGAGGAAAAGGCCACAGATCCTTCAAAGAGCACACCGAAAAAGCCTTCTGCATCCTCCACCAGCTCAGAGACTTTCACCTCCAGGAGATCTCCATCTAGATTAGACTTGGGAGCACACTCTCGTGAGCAAATCATTGCCGTGTGTCCACAGCTGGGCAAGGGAAGAGAGGCCTCAGCCCCTGGCATTTGGAGGATTGCTAGAGACCAGGAACCTGTTCACACCCAGGCAGGAGAGGAGCCTTTGGTGTCGGCCATTCATAACTTTGACAGACGGTCACAGGAACAGCAGACAGGGTGGGCAGAGACATTCAGTAAACTGAAGGCAGAGGAATCCACTGATGTTATCAGTACTGTGCTGTCTCCATCATCTGTGCGTTTGGTGGAC